CTCTCTCTCTCTCTCTCTCTCTCTCTCTCTCTCTCTCTCTCTCTCTCATCTGTCTCTCTCTTGTTATCTCATTACTATTGCAGAAGAGAACCTGAAGCACAAATGTCTGAGCACAGTCAATTTATTAGTGAGGTTAGCAATTACCAATAGAAAAGGTTCCTCAGTAACCCAGGATGTACCAACAGTCAGAGCAGCTCCTTTATACAGTTCATTACATAAGACTCCAAAAGCAATCTAGTGATGTAAATTAAGTAAGTCAGATTGTTCACAGAGAGGAAGGGTGGATTTTGCTTGTCTTGACTCAGAGAGCATGTTTCTATAAGCCAGGGCAACAGGGAAAATCCAGAGTTGATTCATATCTCCTGAAAAATCTTATGGTGGATAAACATTCCATGACCAGGTTGACCCATCTCTGCCAATGGTCAGCAAAAACTCAGAGATTTGAGTCTTTGTGGTTTGCCTTAAGCCTAGAAGAACAGTGAAGTTAAACTTTTACAAATTTTACCAATGAGGCTCATACAATTAAGTCTATGTTTTATCAAATTTTATTGATTCCAATAATTAGATACAATTGTCAATCAATAAATAATCAACAATACAAAATAAAGTAGGCCATCATTTTTCAATTTCACCTTACCCTCTGAATAGAGCTGTTCCTGGACAATCAACTTACATGCTGATGGCATAGCACATTCCTAAGTTTTTCCCAGCATGGTCAAGATGGATTTCTAGCTCCTAGTAAATAATTCATTACCAAATACTGGAAAGCTTTTATTTCATCCCATAGAAAATTCAAAAGACATGAAAAATCCAGCAGTGGAACACCTATTTAGGCACAGAAATAAAGCACCAAAAGAACAGATTAGAGAGAAAGGAATTGATGTTGAGGTTGACATCAAGATACTACACTGACATTGCAGAGAAATTCTTCTCTCCCACAGGATCAATCAAAGTTCTTTCCAGATCCTTAGGACCACCTTGTGGTTAGCATTTTCTCAATATAGTAAGTCATGTGGCAGAGGTGCTTGGGAACCAGCATTTGGATTACACTTCTGTGTGTATAAGAAAAATATCCTGATGGGGCACACTGAATCCCAGAGTGGGGAAAGTGCAGGTTAAATTTTCTCTCTAAGAAAAAGGATGATCTGATTTAGGTTGTCTTCCTCTCACAGCTTTCATCAAAGCATTTTTTACCTCTTTATTCCTCATACTATAGACCAGAGGGTTCAACATGGGGATGACCATGGTATAGAACACTGACACCACTTTGTCTATGTCCATGGAATGACTTGAGCTAGGTTGAAGGTACATGAAGATAATTGTCCCATAAAATATGGACACTGCTGTTAGATGGGAAGCGCAGGTGGAGAACGCTTTCTGACGGCCTTCAACAGAATGGATATTTAGAATGGTGATGAAGATTAACAAGTATGAAGTAAAGATGACAAGAAATGGGAAAAAGACTGTGAATGACCCTAGGATAAAGAATAGTAACTCAGTGATATGAATATCAGAGCAAGAGAGAACTAGGAGAGGGGGAATGTCACAGAAAAAGTGATGGACTATGTTAGACCTACAGAAGGAAAGGCTAAAAGTGTTTCCTATGACTATGGAAGAGGTCAGAAAGCCACAGATGTGAGCACCACTAGCCAGATAGGCACATACTGTTGAAGTTATAGTAGTAGTATAATGTAGGGGCTTGCACACGGCAGCATGGCGATCATAGGCCATGGAGGCTAAGAGGAAACTTTCTGTAGTAGCAAAGGCCCCAACAAAGAACAACTGTGTAGCACATCCATTGTAGGAGATGACCTTGTTCCTTGTGAAGAGCCCAGCCATCACCTTGGGGGTAATAGCTGACGAGTAGCCAAAATCCACTAGAGAAAGATTACTGAGGAAAAAATACATGGGGGTATGGAGATGAGAATCCCATGAGCTCAGAGCTACTATCCCCAGGTTCCCCACCAGAGTAGTAAGGTAGATGAAGGTGAACATTATGAAGAGAGGAACCTGAAGCTTTGGAACATCTGTTAATCCCATGAGGATGAACTCATTCACTTCAGATCTATTCTCCATACATGCCATTTGAGAGTGTTGTCATTCACCTGCAACAAAAGAGAAAAATAAAACCAAAATCCACTCTGCATGATGAATGAGTTTAAGACACAAACCATGGATGGAGACTTAACTTCTGTGAGTGACAGAAATAAGGATTTAAGGAATCAAGAGAATTGAGGTATTTGTCACAGCGATTACTCTATGTCCCCAAAATTCATCGATCCAGTTTCTCATATAGATAATTCCCCATGCATTACTTCCCACCTTTTTTTCCAACCTATTTCACACTTAACAATTCCCAAAGTGCCATATTTATATTTAGGAATGAGAAATACCTTATTTCTGGGTTAAAACAATTAACATAAGAAGGAAGATTATTGTTGTTCAGGGTTGGAGAGTGAGGTCTTTTCCTATGAATATACTTCATTCTGATGAAGAAGAGAGAAAAGTAGAATAAAGGAGAAGAGGGGAGAACAAAAGAAGAGGAAAGTTAAAAGACTGAGAGAATGGAGAAGGGGATCAAAGAAAGTTGGTTGAGATTTCACTGGAATGCTGTTTAATCATGGAATCATTGTGACTGTGAGGTCTATACAATGGACTGAAGTCATCATTTCCTTGGGATGAACAGAAGCCAGTGGACACCATTTGCCTAGTTGTGGGAGTTGCCCATCAAAAAGGCCACTGGTGGATCACTTAACAATATGCATGGTTTCTAAGCCTGTTTTCTTCACCGACTGTCCTTTTTCAATTTTCTCCCCCACTGCAACTGTGGAAGCAGAAGGTGTCCACAAACAGGAGAATTTAGTCCTTTCATTCAATATACAGTTTTCTGGGTCCCAGGGAAATCACCAATCTTTGGTTTAGCCTCCTTCAAGGTTGAGCTAAAATGTCACCTATAGGAAGGCTTACCTGATCCATCTCAACTCCAGGGCCTCCACTCTTTTGATTATCTCCAATTTATCCTGGATATAGCTTGTTTGTACAGTTATTTGCATGTTATCTAGAGACTACTACTCTTTGGGGGCAGGGACATTATTTCACCTTTCTTTGTATTCTCAGTGCTGAGCATATAATTGGCACTTAAATGTTATTGGCTCCCTGATTGACCAGTGGTAACCCTCCCTATCTGAACTAAGCCAAGGTGACCTTTGGCCATCAGACAAATACATGGTCCATCCCCAGACACCACCATTAGCCTTTACAACTTGGAAGTACCTTCCACAGTTATATTTCACTAACTTAGTCTTAGAATAAACACTTAGTTTCATTGCTACAACTATTAGACATTAAAAAAAATTATCAGAACCTATAAGTAGGCTGCTGCATGCTGTTCATAATAAGTTGTCTCATGGGGAGAAAAACATAGAAAAGAAAATTAGAGGAACTTGTCAGTATATTTCCTCAGATGTCACCTACCTCAGCTCACATCTGACCAGCAGTCACCTCCACCAAAACCTTCCAAGAGTCAAGTAAGATTAGAAAAGGAGGAAAGTAGGTTAAGCAGGAAGAATGAAAGGCAAGAGATATACAGCTCTAGCAGCCTATTGGGATCCCCAAGAAATTAAGCCTAGCAAGCAAGATGAACTAGAATATCTAACACTAGAAAACAAATATGGCTACTAAAAAAACATTTAGACTAGAGAGATTGGACTCCTAACTGGAATGTGGTTCTGGAAAAGTTTCTCCCTTATTTGAATGAAAGGATACATTATGGTATGTTGTTATAATTTTTTTTAGAACTGAGAATATATATTCATATGAGGATATCTAAGAACCAGAAAGGGAAAACATGGTGGAAAGCATTTATACTGTTATCAGTAAAAAGTATACTGTTTTAGCGATTATTTATATTTGAAGAATAAGTAGATCAGTAATTTAGAAAACATCACAAATTGGCATGAAGGAATGATACATTAATGATAGGAGAATTTAATTATCTGGGTATATTCCAGAATGTTCTTTCTCATTTTGTCTCTTTCTGCTTCTTTGTCTCTCTCTATCTCTGTGTCTCTGTATTTCTCTTTCTCTGTCTCTATTTCTCTGTATTTATCCACATCTCTGTCTCTGTCTATGTCTTTCTCTACCTGCCTGTCTCTGTTTTTGACTTTGCCTCAGCCTGGTTTTCTCTATGTCTCTTTTTGTATGTCTCTATCTATTATCATCTGTCTACCTACCTAGCTAGCTAGCTATCTCTCTTTCTCTCCTCTGAAAATACAGCTATCCATTTCTTGATGACAATGATATTTTTTCTAAGTTCAAAAGCGAAGAAACCAAGATGAGGAAATTCTGTTCTGCATTTTATTCTCAAAAATGATGGGGAATTGTGAAGTAGGATCAAAGTAATGAGGAATGTTACAGGAACAGGAGGAAAGTAAGTCAATCATTTTAAAGTTTGAGATAGACAGAGAAAGGAAAACTTGCAATTGCCTGACATGCCAATTAGGTTTGAGGTGGGTCAAATCCAGGTATTTCAGAGTCAGAATAAACTAGAATCCTATGAATTAATTCTATGGGAAATTCACACCTGAAGGAACAGGAAGGTCTCATGAACAAAATTTTGAAAATACAAGAAGAAAAATTGTCAATTAGGCCAACTTAGATATGAAAAAAAAAATCTGTAGTAAGGAAACTAGAAAGGTAACAAGGCTGACTGAAGAAGCAGAACTTATAGTAATAGAGTCAGATGGATGCCAGGGCTCAGGTTGAGTGGAGGGAAGCCCAGAAATCTAAAGACTGCAAAAAGTTTTTTTGGGGGGAGGTGGGTATTGGCCATTTAGATAAAAAAGAGATATAGAATTGGATTGATTCTTAAGATAGACAAGACAAGTACAGTGAATGACAATCAAAGGCAGAGCAGCTCAAATCTATTTTGGTTCTGTTTTCACTGACAAGGGAATGATCTTTGGATTTGGAATAACTGAACAAGTAGAGATGATAGGGAGTTGACACCAAAAATAAGAATTAACACCTATAGAAGCGGAGAAAAGGGAAGAATCATTTCTATAACAACCATTAAATACCAGGACCTGTGGTAAGTAATTTAAAATATTATTTCATTTGATTCTCACAACAACCCTGCAATGTAGGTGCTATTCTTATCCCCATTTCAAAGTTGAGGAAACTGAGACAAACAGAGCTTAAGTAATTTGCTTAAGGTCGCATCCTAAGTATCTGAGTTTGGATTTGTACTCAGGACTTCCTGACTTCAGTCAGCCACAGTGCTCTGCTCCCTGTGCCAAAACTGCCACTTTAAAGTTTTCAAAATATTTTAAATACATTGAATTATATGATCCCCACAACAACTTTGTGACATACATGTCCAATAAGAAAACTGATCTGACCTCACAGTGAGTGGCGGGACACACTATCCAGGTGTGCAGAGGTGGTCGTCCCCATTCTGCATTAGGAGCAACATGTTGAGTCATCCTTTCCACACTTTAGGAAGGACATTGAAAGGCCTGAGATTCTCCAGAGAAGCTCAGCTGGCATGGGGAAGGACTTTGACATGGTATCATATTGGGATTAGTGGAAGAAATGGAAGGTGTTTAGTGTAGAAAAGATAAAAGACAGGTGTTGGCAAGGGTTTGGAATTAGTTACCTTCAGGCATCTGCTGGACTGACATATGGAGGAAGGATTTGACTTTTCTATTTGCACCTAAAGAAAAGAACCAGGAGCAAAGCATAGAAGTTAAGAAGAAACAAACTGAAGTTTGAAGTAAGGAAAACATTCTAAAAAATACTGTTATGCAGATATGAAAGAGAATGCTATCACATACACTGAATTTCTCTTCAATTGAAGTCTTAAGAAAAGAGCTAGGGGACCACCCATTCAATATTTTACTTAAGTATATACACACAAATGTATATCTATGTGTATATGTACAAAGATGCATAAATACTAGAAACACACATGTGTGTATGTGTGTTTGTGTGTGTTTGTGTGTGTGTGTGTAAAATACTGAGGGGAAGAGAGACAGAGAGAGAAACTTATTCTTTGTTTTATGGGAAGATATGACTCTTAACTTTCTTATTATTATATCCATAGAAAAGTTATCTCACCTCAGAATCTCCATTTACTCATGTGTCAAAAAAGGATAATATTCATGGTACCTATATCATATAACTGTTCTAAGGATAGGAGATAATTCTGTAAAGTGCTTTGAAAACAGTAACCTTTATATAATTGTGATTTGCTGTTGTTACATTAATTAACAATACTACTGTTATCTTTGATAAGTTCCTCAAGGTCTTTTACTTCTAGGATACTTATGAGGCCTCAGTTTCCTTATTGATTAAGAGACAATATTAGACTATATAACCTCTGAGATCCATTCTAGCTCTAAATCAATGATTCAATGATACTTTTAACCTACATCAATTTTAAGGGTTTTCATTATTCTTTGTAATCCTACAGTAAAAGGATTATTATTCTAATGTGGTTAACATGGGACTTCTAGGTAAAGACAAAATAAATAATTAAAATTTCATCTCATAGACAACAAGGGGAGTAGAAAAAAATCTATCTTAACAACTTAAGACAATGGAGGATTTTCCTTTAACATAAGAGGAACTATATTAAATAGAATACAATCAACATAGAGTCAAGATTTATAGTAATATTGGTCTCCTATATGGTCCTCTTGAGCCATGTTGATAATTGATAGTATTGAATCAAATAGTTGTAGATATAACCTATGACAATCTCACTGATGTACTAAAGGTTGTGTCCTCTTGTGTTCCCAAGTCTAGAGAGAACCCATCTTGGATGCTAGGGTAGATAAGGGGATTTGTTTTCTACTCAGACATGTTGAAGTGCTGGCAGATAGTTCTATTTTGGAAAGAATATTTGATTAGGAATCTGAAGACTTGGGCTCTAATCTTGCTTGGATTTGCACTAATTTCTTATGTGATTTCACAGAAGTTAATCCTTCTGGTCTTCTCTGTCCTTTTGTAGAAAATGAGCATCACGTTTTTCAAGCCTGGAGGTCACACAGTGGTTGTGAATTAGATGTTTGTCAAGAATCAAG